ATAAGAAGCATTTTATCAGTACCCGAATAGAATTCTCACATCATCTTTGCTGGCAAGAATTGAGCACAAGTTCTCTTCCATGCATCGCAGTTGATCCTGCTGCATTGAAATCGATCCTGATATCGTTTGGTGCAGGATTTTTAAGTTCTTATCAAGCTGAGAACCAAATGTAACAACTAGCTTATGATTTTGATTTTCCAATTTGTTTTTGTCATCTGTAAAACCAATCCAAAAAATGACCTTGTTAGTTTACTGCACTAATAAATACCTATCTGCCTTCAACAAAAATAGAAAAACATTGTTGCACTTCTGCAATTTGGTCCAGTAGTAGCATATTTTCCCCAAATGCTAGAAATACAACTAGTCTTACCTATTTTTTTGTGCAATATCGATATGTCTTCAGATGCATTTCCCAAAGTGCAACACAGCTCCTTTGCACGTTGAATTAGAGAATTTTCTGGTTTTTCAAATTGATGTGAGAATTGTATGATGGCCAATGTGCATATCTGTCAAGAAATAAACTGACAACATCTTCATTAATTTACCTGAGTACATAAGTTTGGATATCATAGAGTCTTTTTCCTGTAACTGGGTGATGGACAACTTCTGTTTCTCTTGAAGTTCGTGCAAGACCTTACAGGTACTCTCTAGATTTTTCTGCACTCAAAATAGCTCTAAAATCAAACCAAGTTCAATATGTATTGATGAAAAAATTCCCCTTCTATGAAAAGCGTATGCACTACCATTTGTTCTTGTTCGACAGAGAAACTGTTATCCATACAAATAACATTAATATTAGTAACTGAGAATGCTTGTTGCACTTGAATATTGCATATTCTTATACTCCCTACATCCTACAATGTGCGCATACTGTACAATCCATAACCTGAGTTTCTTTCTGATATAAATTTAAGACCCGTGACTAAAAACAGTTGTGGTTACCTCATATAGTTCAGTGCATAATTAGCTACATAGTTGATTGATAGTCAAAAAAGCTTTGTTGATGTCAGCTAGGAATTGAGTAGCTGTGATAAATGCTGGCTTGAAACTTCAAGTGCAGAAAACATTAAGATGTAATGCATAAAATCAGAAAATTTGAAGAGGCTAAAATATTTCATGTAACAAATCCCCTAGAAGTGGCTAAAATGTAGTTTAAAAAGGATTATATTTGAAGCAAGCTGGTAATTCACAGGAGCAAGGCAGTGTTGTTAACATCAAGTTGTTTGACTATTTTGATGTACCTGTCGTGTATATTCTTTGCAATACTTATGTGTTTCCTTGATATGTTACTTAGGAACTTAAGGAATTGATTCATTTCAGATGGTATTGGCAGAGTATTTTTAGAGTTCTTAGTTTCCTGTTTCGCTAACTAGGGGTGGTTAAATGTGGTAGAATGTGGAATCATGCCTAATGAAGAGTATATTTGGTGCTGTCTGTATAAACTTAATAAACCATTATTCAACACAACAAATTTTTCAGTGTAGTTGCATTTGTTTCTGTATCCAATTAAGCCTTTATCTTTCACCTATGCAATCCCTAAAAAGCTTAGATTAATATCTTTATGTCTTACTTTGCTTCAGGACTTATTTAATCTTTTCGGTTATTTTTTTGATTATTTTTCTTAGTGCTGTGAAGAACAGGCTTCATTGGGCAGACCTAGTTTATAATTAGTGCTAAAGTTTAGTGCATGAGTAAGAGATTTTGAACCAATATCAATTCCTTTCCTCGAAGCTTTTCAGGGCAGTGATAAGATACCTTGCAATCTCGGAGCTCAACATCTAAATCCAATTTCTCTTCTTGCTCAGAAACATACAAGTCATGGTATTTTTGAACTTCCTGGAAGAATAAAAGATACAAATAGGTAGATAATATGTCATGTCATTCCAGTAAGGAAAGGAAGAACAGAAAACAAAACTTTACCTTTCTACTTTGTTCGAGCTCCATCTTCAACTGCTCTATCTTCTCAATCCTTCCCTAATTAAAATAATGCAAGACCCAAGAAACATTAAGCAGGGATATGAAGCTAAGATCGATGACTTAATTATTTCCCAATCACTAAGATCGATAACTAAATTATGACTAATCAATTTAGAGAGATTAATCCCTGAGTTGACAGCTTGATTAGTCTAGTAATTACAATGTAAAAATTCCAGCTTATACATATATACTCCAAATGCAAGTGATCTTATCATTTTGTTTTTAATTCAAAGATTCTTTGTTTATCACTTATTCTGTTATTCAACAAGGTGATATAGGCATTCTTCTGATAGTGAAATAATTATCAACCTTCTTTTCTGCTTCATCTTGGACAAATCTTTCCAGCGGTACATAAACACCATTTTTATCTCTAGCAACCCGAATATCTGTTTACAAATTCATTGAAAAAAATATATATCAAATTAGTCAGTAAACGAAAGGATTTTGTTGCTTTTTTTTTTCTCAAGACATTAAAAGGACATAAATACATTTCAGAAACCTTGTTTCATCCTCTCAAGTTCCATGTATAAATCTTTGAGCAAAACTGTCTTGCACAGCTTTTTGTTTGCCTGATTGGTTTAAAATCATTACATGTTCGCAAAATTCTTAGATTTCACATAATAAAACTATACTAATATCAATTCTGAGGTAAGAAAGCCATATAACCTCAGGTTTGTTTTTAATATTTTTAGCACGATAAGCATAATCAAGAGTACTAAGTGTTTCTTCTAAACAGCTGCTAGATGGTGAGATTGTTGCTATGATGCACGTCTTTGTTTTCCCTCCGAGTGAGTCTCTCAATAACCTTGTCAGCTTACTGTCCCTGATTAATGTAAGAAAAAACAAAGAACAATTGTAAAACAAAATGCTTATCTGAGTTTCTTCTGCAAGTACACCAGTCCGAACCTGTAAGGTATATGAGCTGAATGTTCCACTAGCGCATTAATAACTCTTCAAGGGTGAGTAAGCTCTTGTTAATCTCCCCAGCTTCCCTTGCACGCCCCTACATTTTCATTACAATTAGAATTTACTATTATATGATCTCCATTTTGTAAAGGAAAATTTGTCAAAAAAAAAACCTTTTTAAATGCACCATTTTGCCGAAAAAAAAAACCTTTTAAAAGCTTTTTTTGTAAAACAAAACTCGAAGTTCAATTTTTTGCGAAAAAAGAAACCCAAATGTGAATTTTTTTTGTTATAGACAACCTAATGCCTCTAATTCACTTAATTAAGCTCTAATTTTTTCTAATTATCCTCTAAATCTCACTTAACCATTTATTTAATTAATTTAACTTATAAATAAAAAAAAAAAACCAAACACCACCACCCCACCAGCCACTCCCTCCCTTTCCCCCCCTCCCATGGCAGCAGTCCCCTCCCCCGAACTGAGCCAGCTCCTTGAACCCAACTCCCGACGACCCACCTCGGTCAGGTGGCACGCTTCTTCTCCCTCTTCCTTTTCTCTCGTTGACTCACTCTCTCTCCTCTTTCTCGCAGTCGCCGCCGCGTTGTGGTAAGGGAGAAGGTGGATGGTCGGGTTAGGGTTTAGGGAAGGGGAAAAGGGAGGAAGAAGGGGAAGGCTGCCATGGGAGGGGAAAGGGAGGAAGAAGGGGTGGCGCCATGGAGGGGGAAAGGGAGGAAGAAGAGGAAGGCTGCCATGGGAGGGGGAAAGGGAGAAAGAAGGGGTGGCGCCATGGGAGGGGGAAAGGGAGGAAAAAGGTTGTTTATATATTAATTAATTCTAATTTGGTGGGTTACGGATTAATTAGATGAAATGAGAAGAAATTAGAGTCTAATTAAGTTAATTAGAGTCTAATTAAGGAAATGGGTTTCTTTTCGCAAAAAAATTTGAACTTCGGATTTTCTTTTAAAAAAAAGCTTTTAAAAGGTTTTTTTTCGCAAAATGGTGCATTTAAAATGTTTTTTTTTTTACAAATTTTCCTTTTGCAAAACTGGAATTTATGATTAACAAATAACCAACAAGAAGAAACCAAAAGAAGTTTGAACGATTTATGTCGCCTTATGTGTTAATAATTAAGGGCCAAACAATGATCCAAATCATTATCTTTTTTTCTGCCCAGGGCAAACTATTAATGAATACCTCTCTTACACCAGAACGAGAGATATTCTCAGATCCTGCAAGATCAACAAGGTTTAGCTTCCCACATTTTATGAGCTCCTCCTCTCCAATACTTATGTCCTTTACATGTACCGTTATGGTGAAGACAGAATGAGAGCGACTGCAAAAGTAGTTTTGAGTTACCACCATAATTACTTCAAATGCAAGAAGGTAACAAATTGGAAAATACATACTCACCTGCTACGCTTGTTCAGTAATGTGTCTGCTGTTCGCCTTTTAGCAGCTCCTCGTTCCATAAGGTTATAAATGTCGTTAGCACTGTACACGACTTCTTCTTCAAGGCCTCTAATGATAACACAACCCCTTCCGTCTTCCCATCAAGGAGACAGATTTCTTTTGCTTATCTTCTGAGAACCTTGAGTTATCTTCATGAGTTAATAAATCTGTTAATTCTTCATTATACAGTTCTAAAAATGACACCTTCATACTGTAGTCAGCATTCTGAGCTTCTAGTATGTCAAATAGATGTCGAACTGCTCGTGGGATGACACCAGCCTCAGCACACACTTCAGTGCCCTAAAAAAATGTATCATTCAAGGTTTCAGCACATAACAAATTTACAGGCTCTATAAATTATCTTCTCTACCTCAGATTATTAGGTGTAGTTCAATATTTTACCTTAGATTTCATTGATCCTTCCATGGTATAAGTTTTGCCAGTCCCGGTTTGACCATAAGCAAATATTGTGCAATTGTAACCATCAAGGACTTCTCTAACAATGGGCGCGATAGCTTGGTCATAAATGATTCTTTGTTGTGCTTTGGGTCCAAAAACCTTGATGAATTACATAATATAGTAAGAAACTAAGAACGTATACAAGTTTATAAACCAAATAACCATAATTCAATAAGATGCATATAGCTTACCTTATCAAATGTGAAAAGTCTATCCATTTGCTTATTAGCTACACTGTGTGAAATAGTGACTTCTCTTTTAAGTTCATTACATGTTACCACTCTTGATGGGTACTGCTTTGCTCATCGTTGCTCAATGGCCTGTACCAAAACGTATATCAATGCTTTGCTCCCAACAAATCACGTTGTGTACATATAACAAATAGTTTTACTGACATGAAGAGCTAGTATTTGCTCGAAAGCTTTGAGCCTAATGAGCACTTTAACACCTTATATATAACAGCTATCGTGCTCACTACAAGCACAAAACCACCACTCCACCACCCATCCAGTCATTCACAAATCACAATAGTCAAAATTTAGCCACCATAATTGAGTGACAGAAATTATACACTTCCTAAGGACATATAAAATTTATACAAAGCATGCTTAAATTTCCATCCCTGATATTTTAAGCGCTAAATGAGTGTGATATTACTGATTTTTCGATGAATATAAACAAGAGAACACATTCAATTAGATTATGCAAATTAATAGTCTATGAAAAGTGAAAAATCAATTTTTTTTTTTTTTCTTTTTTTTTTTTTTGACATTTAAAATATTATTATGGAGTACTATCTTTCTAAAATACATTAAACTACACAGATTCTTTCTCATACCATTTTTTGTCTAAATATAATTTGTCACATTTCGAATGCCTATGAAATCAATGTTTGTTTTCATCATACAAAATGGTTTCGAATTTTACTTTTGTGGTCAAACTACATTAACATTACCATCAATTTTTATCTCAATTTAACAGTAGATGTTATAATTCTATAAACCAAACCAATATTTGTTTCAAAATAAATCAAAATTACTGTTTTCCCCATCATAATTTAATGTAAAGTTTGTAAAATCTTTGTTTTAGACTTTTAAAATGTGGCCTACTAATTTAGGTACAAAGAACTAGTTCAAGTACTTAAACAGATAATTACAAAAACAATGTCATACTTCGTGTTAGGAATTGGGTGAGAGACAAAGAGGAGAGAAAAGCCCACACATAAGCCCAAGTGAGGTTCTATGCTAAAACCATATGGTAATAGGAGTATCTCACTTAGGTTATAAACTAGTGGCTCCTTATTTAATTATTCTACATGGGACAACAACTCACACATGCAACCTAACAATCTCCCCCTTAAGTGTGAGTTCGGAACACTCCCCCTTGAGCGGAAACCATGCACCCAAACCACCCCTGAGCAGAAACCATGCACCCAAACCCTCAGAGCACTCCCAGTAAGAAACTTGTATGAAGGAAACTGGATGTAGACAAGAACCTCTAACCAACGGCTCTGATGCCTTTGTTAGGAATCGGGAGATAGACAAGAAGCAGAGTAGCTCACTTAGATTATAAAGTAGTGATTCTTTATTTAATTTTACTATGTCGGACAACAAATCACACTTGCAACCTAACACTTCGTATATAATTGTAAGTGACCTATTAATTTAGATACAAAGGAGTATTTCAAGTACTTAAACAAATAGTTACAAAAACAATGTCATACTTCGTCTATAATTGTAAGTGACATAGTGGAATTATAAATAAATTTAATTTAAATTAGTCACACACTTTTCTATCAACACCGTATAAAACGACAAGAAGTGATTTGAGACACAAATTAAGACATATGATTATAACCCGTAACGAAATATCCAACAAGCTAAATTTGTTACCTGCATCTTAGAATAACCTGCACATTAACCTCACGATCTTTATCTTGGCGATGATAACCCATAGACGACTTAACATCACTGACTCTAGAATAATCCATCCGGTATCGTTCGGGCCGAGGCGTGAAGAACGGAGACGGTGATGCAGATGGAATCACCCCTAAACTCAATTTCTTAAAACTGATCAGCGTCATTGACACCATCTTTTTTTTGTGTTTACTCCTAATTGAGAAAACCAAATGCAGTAAACAAATTTATAAGAATCTGGATTATCAAATCAATCAAATTATAGTAAATTTGAAAAGGGATTTGGGGAAAACTGTAGAATTAATTGTGTTAGTGACTTGATGTAATTTGTTTTACTTTAGTGAGCGTTTTGAGAATGATGAGATACAGAGAGAAGGGGGAGTTTCAAAGTTGCAACTTTTAACGGCTAGGTGTAAAGTTCGGTTTTTGCTATGGGAAGTGGGTCCCAAGTCAGCAAATTCAAACTGGCGCGTTAACAATTTTTACATAATAAAAGATTAAAGATGTGGTATTTTTCCTTTTCATTGTGATTTTCAAAGTGTTGGGAAAAGTAGTGAACTTTTTATGTGGGGTTGTAGGACAGTATGGCTCTTTTTCTCTGTTTTGGGGGGTTGTTTTGTACTTCTGGGGCGAGGGATAGAGGTGTTAATTAGGGTATGTAGGTTGGGTTCGGTAATATTGGATTAGATTGAATCTATTTTATATTTGAGTTATGCTAAATTATCAAGTTAATTTTTTGAATTAAATTTTGTTCAGATTAATTTTGAGTCAAATCGATCGGGTCTATTTTTGACACCTTTAGTAAGGAAGTAATACTAAAAGCTCGTTTGATAATCGATCATAAGCTATTATTTACTGCCTAACATTTGCTATATATTTTGGATTTATCACTAGTTAACGGGTGCCATCCATTTTTCCGTCCAAGTGGAGCTCACTTTCGTTTCCCCTCTTTTTCTAAGTTACACTGAGAATTGTTCTCAACACTTACTACCTTTAGAGCTTAATGGCCTATATTTAAGTTGGTTTGAAAGTTGTAAGGGTTGTTATTGGCCCTAGTAGTTGGATTGTTTTTAATTTGTGGTTGAAACTATTAATTTTTTATGTATATATTGTGCAAATTAAGCTTTTTTTTTTAAAAAAAAATGTTAATACTTTCTAACGCTATTGACCAAACCAAGACCGGACCAGACCGAACACCGAAAATTTAAAATTCAAGGCTCGAAGACCGGATTGTTGTTACTTGGACCAGATTCTTATTGCTTCGACCGGACCAAACTAATTTGGACTAGTTTTTTTAAAAAAAAAATTAAAAAAATCTCTATTGTTTATTAATTTTTAATACATCAAGAAAAATAAAAACGAATTTTTAATGCCTATTTTAAACATTTTTCATAAAATCGCTCATAATATAAAAATATTTACAGAATATTGAAGGTGAAATTAAAAATCAAAGAAGTTTTATATAGAATTTAAACTAAAATATTGCTCCGCTCGAAGACTAGTTTTTAAAAGATTTTGGACAAAACTGGACCAAAAATCGATTTTATCATTCTCGACTAGTAAACTAGATTGGTTTTCTTTAGCCCGGTCCTATTCATTTTTTAAAATCTGAATTGGCTATTTGAACACCCCTAATATTTCAAACATATTTCCTCAATGTTTTACCGATGTTCAAGTTATTTTAATTATGTCCACTTAATTGCTCTAATCTTCTCATAAAAGTTTGTAACTACGAAATATGTTGCATTTATAACGAAAATATAGTTAAAAATATGATACTTTAAAAATATACTACCTCTGTATATATCTGCAACTTTTACTAAATATATTTAACCTTTTCGAATTTTTTCTACTACCTCCGTTACACATTATGTGCAACTTTTGCCATTTTTATTCGCTACAAATTATGTGCAACTTTCTAAAACTTTCCAATTGTATTAAATTTTTTTCAATAAAATTACTTCAATACCCTTACTTAATCTTTTGTAAACTGATTTAGATAACTACAACACATTTTGTTAAGATCTTAATTTAACTTAATTAATCTAACATTTCTCTCCAATATTCATTTCCTCAATTACCCATCTAAACTGAGAATCTAAACTCACCCATCTTCAACTTCCATCAAATTGTTCTGGAAATTGAAACATTAACTCCATGTTCTTCATCTTCAACCTCAACCATAAATTTCTCAATCCTCGTCTGAACTGAATCTCCTCCGGCCACCACCTCCCATGCCTTCTCATCCTCCTTTCCTTGGCGATGAGAGCCATGTCCTAAGCCCACCCCCATTATCCCCGTTTACCCACGCCTCAACCACCTGTAGGTTTCGTAGTGACCGTCTCTATGCGGAACAGAAACCCCCCAAGACTCGCCCCAATAATTAAAGCATGCATAAACATAATTAAACAATAATTAAGAGAAGGGAGAAAGAAGTAATACCCTTGAAGCGTGCTTCGCTCGAGAACCGAGCTCTTACTTCTAAGCTTAAAGCCTCACAAGCGTGACGACCTCCAACGCCTCGTACCCACGACCCGACCCAAACGGTCTTCGTCTTGAGGGTTAGTCAAGACTTGACCAAAGATAAAACTAGAGTTTTACGAACTTTAAGGTTTTTCTCAATAATTAGAGATGCCTTTTTGAGTTCCACTCAAGTTGAATTCCAAAATGCCCAATCATGGGGTATTTATAGGGAAATGCAACTTGCACTCCCATTCATGATCAATGTGGGATATCCTGCATTTCTAACTAATTTATTTAAATCAAAAATAAATTAAAAAGATAATGCAATCAACAATCAACAAGTGGCACATGGAGAATTAGTGATTAGGTGAGGACCATCACCAAGGGGGGGACCATTGCCTTGCTCCCCAAGGGATGGCTCCAAGCTTTGGTTCCCACAACTCCAAACCGGCATCAAGGCATAGGCAAGCTGGCAGCCTGCCTTAGCTGCCAAGGCTGCCAGCTAGCGCCTGGCACCAAGGCTAGGCAGCCTGCCAGCCAGCACAGCACAGCAAGCACGCTCAACCCAGCCATCGCATACGTGCTCCTACCGAGCCACGCATGCTGCTGCTGTTAGGCGAGGCCCCTAGCTCGCTGCTGTGCTTGGTGCTGCCATGCGAAGGCATACGCAAGCGCACACACGCACAGCCCAGCGAGCTTGTTGGCTGGTGCGTGGCGTGCTTCCATGTGAGGCGCCTAGCAAGCTAGGATGCTATGCGAGCCAGTGCTATGCGTTGTTGGGCTGCTAGCTCCTAGCAAGAAAGCAAGGCCTAGCCTTGCGATGCTTGTTGGGCTTGCCGTGCGCCAGCGCCTAGCATGCTAGCAAGGCCTAGCCTTGCGATGCGTGCTGGGCTTGTTGTGCGCCAGTGCTAGCAAGGCCTAGCCTTGCGATGGCAGTTGGGCACTAGCGCCTAGTACGCATGGCATGCTAGCTCGAGCTAGCCTAGCAACCACATGGCTAGGCCAATGTGATGCTACGGCTTTGCTCGAACTTGTTCCTTATTGATTTTGCGACGCTCGGTCTTGACGCCCTAGGCTCGATATCCGACGTCTGTGTTCGTAATACTCTAGTGACTCATCAAATCCTTTGGATTGATTCGTCGGTTCGGATCGACAGTTCGTTTGGGTTCGACCCGAAGGGTTCAATCAAGACAAAGCTGTAATATTAATTGTTCACCCAGGCATACCGATCACTTGATCTCACTGAAGAATTAGCTTCCTGATAATTCTGAACCCTCTATCAGAATAATACACTTGTTGGATTGACACCATTCCTTTCAATCTCCCACTTGTCCTTCCGGACAAGTGTGCATATAGTGTATAGCCCATTTCCTATGTCGCTTAATGTCTCTTCATGAACTATAAGGTAAGAATCTTCGTCATCCTTATTACGTTCAAAAGTATTTCTCGATCTCCGAGTTCGACTGTCAATATGCAGATGATTTCTAAAATCCATCTGAGCACAGCCATGCATTTTCACAGTCTCACTCTTCTAGCAGTCTTGTAAACAACAAAATATTCCCTATTGTTAGTTGGGGGACATTCCTAGTCTTGTACTGTAAGCCTCCCTCACTAAGAGGACCTAATCTCCCGAGTTTTCCCATTATAGTCCCCAATTACGGCAGACGTTTGACAACATCAAAGAGACTAGTACTCAAACAAGAGAACTTCACAATACTCGTGGTTTGAGGAAACAGGTTCTGATAGCTATAATGAGAAATGTACTTATGACGTTTTTGGATCTCTTAAAGTACTCTCATAGGTCGATCTGGTGTAGTTCCAAACTAGCACCTGTGCAAATGATTTATGACTATTGTGTCCTTGCAGCACAAGAAACGGTGTTGTAAATCATACTACATACTAATCTCCAATGGTCATTGATCGTCCATCAGTTAAATGATCTCGATTAGGGATAATTTTCGATTTAGATATTCAATGTTCACTTAACAAGTGTTTTTTTATCCAAGACATGGTCTTGATACCGTGTTTTGAATATTCTCAGAAATCGAATGGACTCATTATATAATTCTAAACCACAATTAAATAGCAATGGAGTGAATAGTAATTTTGCAAAAAAAGAGATTACTCCGAAAATGAATGGTTATTACATGGTGTTTTACATTAAGACATCTAGTTTAATTAAAACACATGTATAGGGAATTCAAAGCCAATCTCCAATGTGCTTGATTCCCATTGCCTCAACATGCTTGTTGTGCTTCACTTGAGGCAGAGGTTTAGTCAAAGGATCGGCCACATTGTCATCCGTCCCGTTCTTACAAATTCTGATTTCACCTTCGGATTTCCATTCCCATATCATGTGAAATCGTCTTTGGACATGTTTGACCTTCTGGTGCTCTCTTGGCTCTCTGGCCTGAGCAATAGCTCCATTGTTGTCACAATAGAGATCTATTGGACCCTTGAGGGAGGGTACAACACCAAGTTCTCTGACGAACTTACGAATCCAAACTGCCTCCTTAGCGGCTTCCGAAGCTGCCAAGTATTCAGCTTCAGTTGTAGAATCTGCAGTGGTGCTTTGCTTGGCACTCTTCCAACTAAACGCTCCTCCATTAAGGCAAAATATGTACCCTGACTGTGACTTGAAGTCGTCTCTGTCAGTCTAGAAGCTAGCGTCGGTGTAACCTTCAACAATCAACTCTTCATGGCCACCATAGAC